GACCAACCCTAAGTTGAGAAATATCAAAACCATTTTTCTGGTCGGGGGTTTTGCCGATTCACCATTGTTGTGGAAGGCAGTTGCGGCTGCTGTTTCGGACCGTGGAGTCCGTGTATTGGTCCCTGAAGAGGCATGTTTAGCTGTTATCAAGGGCGCAGTTATGTTCGGACGAAATCCGAACGCCATTCAGGAAAGGGTAAGCGCACGTACCTACGGTGTCAGGTCGATGACAACTTTCATAGAGGGGCTCCATCCGCCTCAGAAAAAAGTCGTTGCTCACGGGACTGCACTTGCTACTGATATTTTCAACAAATTTGTAGGGGTAGATGAGTTAGTGGAATTACAGTGCAGACGAAGCATTGACTTTAAAGCACTAAGGGACGATCAACGCAGTGCAACCGTCTATCTGTTTTCTACGAGTAAAAGGGACCCACAATTTACCACAGACCACGGTATGAGTCTCTGTGGTCGGGTTCAAGTTGATATGCCCGACACACGAGGTGGAAGGGAACGTGTTATAAGGGTAACGTTTATTTTTGGTGGAACAGAAATTGACGTTCAAGCGGAGGATCTCACCTCCCACATGCGAGCGTTCGCCACAATCGACTTCCTCACTAAGCATAACCCATGACCAGCTTTGTCCATTCACTCTCCAGCTGACTACTGTCACATGTCGAACTGTACAGTATTTACTAAACCTAATAAATCATATAGGTAGGTCAGCACGAATTGTACTCAAACTAAGAAAGTAAAAGGTGTAACGTGAACTCTGCATTTAAGACCGGCAGCCGACCATAACTTTCTCAATATTGACATTAAACAAATACCTTAGTTACAGCAAGAGAAAGTAAAAGGTAACTAGTAGATCGTGCGATCCCTAACAATAAAGGCACAAGTGGCCTACAATGAAAACAAAATGTAGAAATTTACAAGTCTGCAACGTATTCTTGGGCTTTGTAAAAGGCTATTTAAAGAATGTGTGTGACTTGAGCCTGTTGCATACCATTTCATTACTATGGCAAAGCACACTATTGACGTATGGAACACAGAAACACAAACGTTACGGCTGTTAAAGCCGTAACGTTTGTGTTTCTGTGTTCTATATGATACAATCAAAGACTATAAAAGTACAAGGCAAGTTCCAGGCGCCTAGGCTTAACCAAACTTCTTTGTTCCCTGTATACGTAGTTAGTAAGTGATCCCTAGTCAAACGCTTGATCGCTTACAGGAATGTATGCTACGAATAGTGAGGTATAGGGTTCAGTTCCTACTAGGTATGCCCATACCTGGCCTGAAAAGAAAAGAAAAAAAATCTAGTTTCTACGGGGCATAATAGCCAACACTTTAGAGCCATAAGGTTAAACTTTGTAAAACAGGCCCGTAGACTTAGAATGTAATATAAAGCAGTTCATTACTAAGTGCGCCCCTCCCCCCTTTGACCCTTAGTACCGTGTTAGTAATTCAACACAAAACGGGGAGGACATGTAACTCCTTCAGAAAGCGTGTGTCGCAATGTTTGGTGCCTACCTCATGTTTGGTACTCACTACCCATGGAAGACGAGCACTTCCTGATCACCAAGAATGAAGTTAATCCAACGTACTGCGCAGTATCTCTTTTAAATTCTGTAGTTAATAGATAAAATCTATGAGTACTACCACAGCGCGAGACACGATACGTACATATGGTGGCTTGGGAGCCCAACTAGAAATGTTTGTTGTAAGTCTGGGCCAAACGAACGCAATGCTGTGGTGTGGGGTACAAACTATAAAACCTGTCGGCTTAAGAGCTTGCAACTGACACAATGAAACATAACATATACCAGCGCAAGTCTGGTCGTTGCTACTCTATTTTCATTCTTATTGAAGTACAACAAGTAATTGTGCTTTTGAATATATATATTGTCAAATATCAAGATTAGATATTCTTTTCATTGTATATTTTATGTTACTAATGAACAGAAATAAATCAGTACAGTCTAGTAACTTAAAGTTATAACGTTTCTATACGGTGCCGCTGTGGGACTGAGAACGTTTTCTGCACCAGGTGAAGTAAAAAGTTCAGTCACTCCGAAATCTTGTTTACCCAAGTACGTCTCATATATCACATCTTTACTGCCTCATACCAAGTTTATTTGTGGATCCAAATAAAGCCACAATACACATACTAGTATATGGTGACCTCTGACCCGTTAAAAATGTCAGTAATTGCCGGAGCGACGGCAGCCGGACATTAACGGAAGAAGAAGAAGAAGCCAAGTCCATGTTGAAAGAAAAGGAATTCGCCCAGTAACCTGCAATTCATATTTAAGATACAATTTCGTTGATTTTTCAACAGTCTTTCATATTGGTAAAATGTAACTGGTTAATATCTAGTTGTGTTCATTTGACAATTTAACAGTGAATTTTAAACAATGTTCCTGCCTTTGTATTTTAACAACAAGCATAATTAATTTTATATTTTGTCATAGCACACTAGCTTCACATCCGTGAACGACCTGACACACTTAATAATAAACCTTTGCACATCTAACTCCAGGTGATGTTTAAAGATATCTAGGTAGAGTGCTACCCGACTACCTGCGAGTAAATATTTAAATTGTAATAGTTACAGTGCTTTGGTCAACATTAAATATTGACTGACCGATACGATTGATTTACCATTAGCAGGTCACGTAGACTGCCTTGACAGTCGATCAGACCTTCAATAGTCCCAATGTCACAAAGTAAGAAGGAAATGAGACTAATAAGGTAAAAAAAAATGAACTCAAAGAGAACATTTTTCCTTACCAGTGGAAGCAATATCATTTGGCTATGCCTAATGTTTCTTCATATTAAGCTTAACGACAAGTTGTACACTATTGTAAGACCATAGCAACAGTGAGTAGTGAAATCTAAAAATATGCGTTTATCGCTAGCACAAGTTAAGGTACAAAACCTGCCCGTTGTCTAATTCATCACATACAGCCTTCAGAGCAGTCTTGATATATGGCAACACTTAAAACTAGAATTCCGAGATCTCATACCTCCATGAAATATGTTCTTGATATGTAAATGTAAATTTCTTCTTTAATTGTGCAAATGACCTCTGCATTAACATGATATATGCATCGTGATGTATGTTAACTTTTGATTAACTTACAGATGTCCCAAGTATGACATTCTCATCATTCACCATTATGAAATCATAGAATTATCGCATTAATTATGCAAATTAGGTCATCATTTGCATAATTAGTATCTGTTGAAGTTCCGCCTGCCATAGGTTACATACATTACATGTATGTAAGTAGTATAATGTAAAACACTGTAATTATGGAATTTCCTCATTAATTATGCAAATAAAGTCCTCATTTGCACAATTTGCATTTCATTATGTATATCTCTCTCTCAGCAACCTACACACCAAAAATAATGAAAATATGTTGTTCCTGTCTGGACTTATTGGCTTTTAAACATTTCGCCAGAAAGTGCCCTGCAGTTCCAGAACAAGCCGATAGGGGGCCCAAACTCATATGACTTTTTCCCAAGCACGAGAGCTACCTTCCATCAAAATTTCATGACCCTAGCATGTCCAGATCGCGAGATATCAAAACCGGAAGTTGCGCTGCAGTACCAAGGGAAGCCACTAGGGGGACCAAAATCTAATCATTTCCAGTTTTCGTCACACCCTACCAACACACCAAGTATGAAACCAATCCATCCAGGCGTTCTTGAGTTATCTTGTTGACCAACAGACGGACGGACAGACGGACGGACAGATAAACGCAACTGAAAATATAACCTCCATGACACATTTCATGGAGGTAAAGAGGCTAAGGCCACACCGATTTAATTTTATGGATGACATTCTCTGAAGACCCCCAAACTAGTGCGCGCGGGCGAATTAAAAAAAAATTCCGGCAAAAATATAAATGCTACTGAACCACAGGAATACAAAGCTGGTATTGTGAATTCCGACAGTACTTAAAGACGTATACGGCAAGCCGGCACATGCTTGCTTTTTGCGGCATTTATGAATCGGTACTATACTTATGTACTGAGTTCTTGAGTCGTGGAGCTTCGAATTCGATAGCCGGGCATGGGTTCTCGGCTCCGTTTTGTCGCTGATTAGCATGGACTACACAGGCCTAGAGCCAGGCCAGAGCCTCGGTGGAGGTGATCTTTTTTTTTTTTTTTTTTTGAGGGCGACAGGCGAAAATCAATGCGCGCGCGGATGTCATCCATAAAATTAAGTCGGTGTGGCCTAACATTGTCAACATAGTCGTTGTTATCGGGTATTTTTTGTTTGATCACGTATTTATGGTGCAGTCTTCATGCCCAGGCAACGATTTTTAAAGCCATAGTCTACAAAATAACTCCTTCCGATTCACCCCGTGTATTGTTCTGCATATTGTTGCATAGATAATATGTTGTGACGATGTTATAAATAAATTGGTCAAAAGGTCCGGTGGAGGACATTCCACCGTACAAGAGATGTCTAATCCGGGATATTTGGCTTCTGAGCTAACCGCTTTGACCATTTACGCCACGACATGTCACTTAACGGTCATTGACATTACTGAACAAAAATAAGCCGCCTCATAACATTTATGATTGGCATGCCATTGTACATTGAGCAATCTTTACGTCTCAAGGGTTAATTATAGGCCTTTAGGGAGGCAAGCTTCTCACGGGAAACTAAGATTCTTTGTTGTTTGAATGCCCACTTTTGCGATCACATACCTCCATCAACTATCTAGAGCTTTTGTAAATTTTATACAAATGAATTCCGTATTTAAACAAACAATTACAAATGTCACATGTCTGAAATTAGAAACCATAATTTTACTAGTAAGGATCAAATAAGGTCATTGTTGGTATGTTTGGTACGTGTTTATGTTCAACTTGTCATTACTTACATGATGTGTTACATGTATTCATGTCCTACTATGGAAATATTTACATGCCCCCTATTAGCAAAATGGTTGTTTGGGCATGAATGTAAAGAAAGCTGTCGGTGCAGGACAAATCTACACGTGCGTAGCTCATCACAACATTGCCTCCTAGTGACCACTGTGCATATTGTATGAATAGATATAATGACATCAATGCCACAGCCTGCATTATTTCGAGTAAATACAAGCGAGTAACAAGACATGGCATGAATCTTATCAATGTCAAAGTCAATGTACAATATTTCAAATTAAAGTTAAAATTTTTCCCATCGGTGGTATATTCTTATGTTGTTTCTTGGCTAAGGTTAACAATCCTACGACAGATGCAGGTGCAGGACTTAGTACATGAGGTACACGTTGCTCAGCATTGCCTCCTTGTGACCACAGTGTAAATTGCAGCACGCCACACGGTATCATCACTTCGTCTTAAACGATAACTTAATTTTATTATTAACCAAAAATGTTGATAAAAGCATGTCTATAATCACAGAAATCAAGGATTTTAAAAAACTGCATAAATTATGTCAATGAGCATTGGCAGTCTAGCCATGGGACCCCAGCCATGTATTTGCACGTTCCTACACACAAAATTGTTCAGATGTGCACTTTGTTAAGCCTTGTGTTGGCAAAATGGTCGAAACATTTTTAAAGCCTTTAACCCTCAAACACCCCAACGGGGTCCATTTGGACCCCAGACGTATATTTT